GGCCACCTAACTCTTCTGCAGCTGATTCTGCTTCTTTAAAACCGGGGTAAAGCTTCCCAGCTTGCTTAGTAGGGATTACAAGGAATTTGAAAATGCTTCGTACGTTGTAAAGTGTGATATAAATAGGCAGGGTTATTATTACTGACTTGAAGTACAGAAGGAGAAAGGAGATAGCAAGGTGTCAGCAAATAGAGCTTTCCCTGAAAAACAAAAACCTAATCAGGTTTCTCCCGCTCAAAAATCATTGCCCAAAGCAGGGGTTGGCGAGCTGTGCCTGTCCGCGCCCCCAGGCCAGATCTGGTCTGGTGCCCGTTTTATAGATGAAGTTTTATTAGAATACAGTCACAGCCATTTGTTGTCATATTGTCTGTGGCTGCGTTCTTGCCACACACAGAGTTGAATAGTTGTGACAGAGACTGTAAGTCCAGAAAAGCTGAAAATATTTACTATCTGGCTCTTTAGAGAAAAAAATTGCTGACTCCTGGAGTAAAGGCTAAAGCGTAAATCCCATTTAAAATATAAGTGCCACTGATGCTTGAAGCCGGATCTGAACACATGAGATGAATCATGTAGCTTCCTCCATCCGCGCCATCCCCTACTCTGTACAGCATTATGGACTACCTCCCAGGTACTGGTTCTATTTGAGGTGGCTCTTCAAGGCCCCTTCTTAGTGCTGCAGCAGGACTCAGGTCTTATTCATTTCTGGCATCTCCACCATGTTTATCACAGCGCCCAGGTCATAGCGGCCTCTCAATATGGTTTCACCAAACTCAATGAGTCATGGACATAATAACTAAATGACAAACATATTTCATTCATCCTAGAGACCTAGTGATTGTATATCTTTGAAAGAGAAAGTAAGTTGGAAATGAATTAATTTGTCATTTAATAATCAGTTACACAAATATTTATTCCATGCCAACTATGCAACTATTCCATGCTATAGAAGCTAAGGCAAATAGGTAATAGGGGATTATATTCATTCCTTTGACAAGAGTTCACTTAACACGGGCTCTGTATCAAGATGGGTGTAAGGGCCAGGGGTTCAGAGTGGACTGTGACTGGTGTCTACCCTCAGGAGCTTGCAGTCTAGTTGAGGAGGCTGAAGGTCAGCAGATAATCACTGTTCAGGGAGGTAAGCACAATGTCAATGTGGTACATGAAGTATGGACAGGCAGAGAGAAAGGCAGGATTCTTGGGAATGCCATCCTGGCACACCGCATCCTGAAAATGTACCCATAGTTTACTCTCCAGAGGGCACGTGCAAGGAGCAGATACTCTCATGAGTACCTCATGGTCCCCGTTGGGTTCTATCTGATGAGCTGACATGGACCCTGCCGGCCATGTTATGTAGATGATCTGATTTAATTCTCACAACAACTCTATGTGGTTTTACAAAGGCCAAGGCACTTGTTCCAGGCCAACAGTCAGGAAGTGGAAGATGCTAGTCAAGTCAAACATAGGCCAACACCTATGCACTCAATCTTTCACTGTAGAGCCTAAAAGCCACAGCAGAGAGCTGGGAGTCTATTCCAGAGAAAGTCCAAAGTTTATGTCCTACAGAGATAGTGCTAAATGTTTTGGTAGCTACCAAATGGACATGATTTCATGAGAACCATCCAACGTGGACCAAGCATAGTTCATGGTTGGAACATAAACAGTCGCTGGTGTTCAATAAGTCAACAATCAAGGGAGGAGAGAATAAAATGTCACAGCAATAACAATAGAAAGATCAGCAATAACTCCCAGCCATGGTGTTCAACGGGCTGCCACAACCACCTCCGGGGAGCGATTCTGGACTCTGGCCAGGATGTTAATTAAGCCCTAACCACCAAGGCCCAGGGAACCCCCTATCAATTAGTGGTGAGCTGGGAGCCTGTGAGACCTGAGGCCAATAAAAGGCTATTCCCTTTAGCCAGGTGTACTCTCCAGAACACGTCTGTGCAAAGGTCCTGGTGGGCAGTGGGGCAGAAGAATTGGAATATAAATATGAAACTTTTTAAGTGAAAATGGTTATATTTACTATGCTTCCTAGGTTATGTCTAAGACACAAGAGTTTCCATATTCGCTTAATTGTTCAAATGATCACGTTTAACTTTTCATTCTTTACGCATACCAAAGGTAGCGTAAAACCAATACATATATAGAAAAATGCCAAATTTTAAATAAATTGCATAATAAGAAATTGTTCTCCCATTTTATCGGCAATGATGAAAAAAAGTCGTCAGAAAATGACCAAACACAGTGACAAAGAGGCTCTGGTAAAAAGGCGTCTCATGCAGTAATAGTGGGGTTACACATTAGTAGAACTTTCTGGAAGGAAAAGCAATAATATCAACAAAGTGTAAAGTGTATGGGTACTTTAACCCACTAATTCTTCTTCTAGGAATTTACTCCAAGGTTCACCAAAAAAAAAAAGTTATTTACAGGATTATTCATAATACCATATATCTGGAAACAACCTAATATCCACAAAAGGAGAGCATTTTAAAAAATCATGGTATAACTAGACAACAGAGTCTGGTTCGCCTACTTAAAAGGAGGGTGTGAATCTATTAGCCATAATAGAAAACGTTCTCCATGCTGTTCAGTTTTTTTAAAGGCTTCCCGTGAGCCTGCATGGGTGTGCAATGTACGTGCCTGGTGACCTGAATTGCATGCATACAGAGTGGCTCTTTATGGATGGTGAGACTTCAGATGATTTTTTTTCTTCCTTTTTTGTTAATCTTCATTATTTGAATGTTTGCAATGCACATGTAATATCTTTAAAAATAGAAAACCAACTGTTTTTGAAGCTCAAAAGAAAACATCTCAAGGATACATAAATTCCTGGAGAAAAAGCAGGGCTAAAACCAGAATAATGGCTGACTTTCAGAAGGAAAGTGGGGAGGGACTTTGAAACCTGCCTGACAGCTTTGCACCAGAAGTCCCTTTCCAGGCCTGGAGGAGGCAGGAAGTGCAGTGGTCAGGAGCCTGGGCACAGGGTCATTCCTCGAGTTCAAATGTCAGCTCTGGCACTTACCAGATGAATGACTTGGGGCAAATTACTTAACCTCCTGTGCCTCAGTTTCCTGATTTATAAAAAGAGATGCTGATAAGGATTAAAGAAGAAAGTAAATGAAAAACAGCTATCACAATGCCTAGCACATAACCAATGCTCACTAAACATTAGCTTATGAAAACCAGCTTCAGACCACTATAGTTGAAGTGAGTTAACTTTACCAGAACAAAACACTAATGAACAGGTAGGGAGAGGGAAAAGGCGGAGGACAATTACCTAAATAAATCCGCAAAAGTGGACAAATAAATATCTAGGCTCTGCAGCACAAGAGGAGTAGCAGGGCCTCATGACAAGCTGACAAGCCATTTGCATTATAGATGGATCCTGTTCTCTTTCAGGCCCGGCCACTCACTGCCCCACCTCGCTGGGTTAGTTGGTCCTTCTCAAGGGACCCGGGAGCAGGGAAAGCTGAAATTGCCCTGGTCATTACCTAGTACTCCCTGGAGAAAGAAGAAGACTCTAAGGCTGAGAACCATAGACAGAATGTGCGCTATTTTATGACATTCATTTTCCTTTAAAAACTTTGGTCAACCCAGGCATGCTTCCAACTTGTCTGACCCCAGTGTGATCCCTTGAACTTGTAGCGAGTAGGTTCACTTTGCCATGTAGGGGATGGTCCCTTGCATCTCTCTAGGCCTGCAGGGGCCTTCCACCTCATTTCTCAAATCACTGATATCATCTGTCTGCACTCAGGGCAGATCACAAGGGGACAAAGTCATCAACTCATAGCTAAGAACCCAAGCTTTGGAGTCGCAGATATCTGGGTTCATATTTCAGTTCCTCCACTGAGTACTTATTCTCTCTGAGCCTCAGTTTCCCCATCAGTTCAATAGGAATCCTGACACCTGAAAGGTTTTGTTGTAAGGATTAAGTGAGATAATGCAATAATGAAAAGGCAATGAAGTGTAGAGGTTAAGAGCCCAGACTGGGGTACCAGACTGTACAAGTTCAGATCTTGACTCTACCACTAGCTGCATGTCCTTGGGCAAGTTACTTAACCTTTCTGGGCCTCAGTTTCTCCAACTGTAAAAGGGGGATGATGACAGATAATGATAGTTTCCACCTCTATAGGGTAGGGAATGAATGAGTTCCAGCTTAGAGCAGCACCGGGCACATTAGTGAGTTCTCAGTAAATGAGTTGTTATGATTAATGCATGGAAAGCCCTCAGCACGGTAAAAATAAGTGTTCAATAAATGGCAACTGTTATTGTTACAAGGCACACTTCCCAAAGAGAATTTTATGCACATTTATCTCCTGGAAAGCAATTTTAAAAATGAAGACATTAGGGAAGATCTTGTCCCCAAGTAAATGCTATAGTCATAGCAGAGAGAGCTCACTGTCCTGTTGCCCTGGCAGGGGATCCTAGCACCCCGGTGCCAGGGTTCTCCTTTGCTTCCAAAGCACCTTCTTCCAGCCATCCACTCTATGAACACACACCCATGAAGCACCCACAATGAGCCCAAGGAGGGCTGGGAATACCCAAGAGGGCTCTGGCCCTGCCATCCTGGAGCTTACAGGGGAGCAGCACATCAAATGAATACGCACATCAAATGATTACACACAAATGATTATTTAAGGACAGCTGCAATAGGTGTTATGAAGTATGTGATGGGAAGGTGTAATGGTCTAGCACTGGAGGTGTATGTGAGGGAGGAGTCATTGGGAAGGCTCCCCGAGGAAGTAACATTTAAGATGGGACTTCAGGGATGAATAGGAGTTGGCTAGTGATGCACAGGAGTGAAGGATAAAATGACCCGGGCAGATGGGCATTTAGTGCCGAGGCCCTGCAGCCACAAGGTGACAGGGGAACGGAAGGAAGGACAGCGTGACTGACTTGCTAGACCCTCCACTCAGCAGCACCCGCTGGGTGGATGGAATTTGGAGAGAATCCCAGGTCCTCAGGAACTGCATTCTCAGTTGTTGTCTCTTCCCTTTCAGACTCTCCTTGCCCGCTGGCAACAACAGCCAAGCCTCAGAACCCCAGTCCCTGGGGCCAAGGGCCAGCCTTTCTCAGCTGAGATTCCCAGAGGCTACAGCCACGGATCACTTGCCCACCTATGAACTTGAGCCGCGTGTGAACCACGACAGGGACTCTGCGCTCTGCATGGCTTCAGATGCCTCACACCTGTCCTGGTCACACCCCACCGGGTTTCGTGAGGCTGTTTAGGAAGATATGTGTCCCAGGCTGCAGGAAAGGGGCAGAGTATGAAAGGACACAATGGCTCTGAGGGTGGGATCTGTGATTGACAGAAACGGGGCAGCTCCCTTAGGAGCATCATGGGTCATCAAAGAAGCTGACCCCCAAGCCCCTGATTTCGCCGCCTGCTTACATGCCCGGGCCGGAAGATGTGTGTAAGTGCCCCATAGTTTTACACTGGAAACGGATGCTCCGGGAAGGGAAGCCGCCTGTTCCAGACATAGCAGGTCTCCTTTGGAATTCACACATCGGGAGTCTGGCGCTATCCCCTAAATGGTACTTTTGTTGTCTTTTTGTTCAAGGCGGCAAGCTTTTCCCAGGATCGGAGGCGCCTGCCAGCCTCTCTTTGATAAACAGCCCACCAGCTCTCTTGGTAGATCGGATGTTTAATAATTAGCCTAACTCATTGTTTATCTAAGTGGCAATTATCGCCGCAATGAAATAATATTGTAACTGCAGGGGAAGCATTGCGGATAGCTCCCGAGCGGAAGCTGCGGGCTGGGGATGGCCCACACGGCCTCCTCGGCGCTGAGGAAAGGGCCTCTCCATCTCGGCTGGCAGGTGTCTGTGTCTGAGATGCCAGCACCAGAGGCTGCTCCCAAGACCTAAGGACATGTGCCCAGGACACGTGTACGGTCCCAATCCTGCCAACTGAGGCTCAATGGCCCAGCAAAATACGAAAATGCGCCCGGTGCTTCTGAAGCGGAACAGCCTGGAGTCGGTGGCGTTGGCGAAGCAGCCGCACCACCGCCGCAGCAAGTCTCAGCAGGTGCGGTTCAAGGAAGATGGGACCGGCAAGCCCCCGCCCGGCCTGGCTGGGGTCGACGTCCACACGACCGAGGACCCGGCTGTGATGGGCAAGACCCAAGCCCCCAGACACCACCCCCTCCCCGCCTACTCCCTCTCCTTCCCCAGGTCCCAGAAGGCAGGGGGCCTCCGGAACATGGCGATCCAAACCTCCCCCAGTCTCAGGAAGCATTTCCCGATCTTCAAGAGGAAGAGACTCACAGCCAGTAAGTCCCTGGTGGAAATGCCAGCAGCATTCCAAAGTGCCATCCAGGTCAACGGCAACCTCTCGGAACAGGACGCGGTGGCTTCCGACCTCGCCTGCTTGCGGCTGGCTCAGCATCTGGAGGACGGGCCTCGAAGGGTCCAGGTGTCCCACCCGTTTCTCCCTCGAATGTCCAAGATGCAGAGCAACGGGCCGGTGAGCATATGCCTGGAAGCAGGAGCTGGGAGAGCCTTGGAGAAAGCAACCGCTGCCATTCAGGTCCCAGAGGATATCTATCACAGCCCGGCCTGGGCGACTGGGGAGCCCGCTCTCAGCCAAGACAGGTCCGCGGAGATAAGCAACTCCGTCCACCCATTGGTGGACCCATGTCCGGGTGATGGACGAAGAGTGCTGCCGTCAGATTCAGAGAGACCCCCCTCCTGCTTGAACGCCACCAGTGGTGCCAACCCCATGCCAGGCCCAGGGAAACTTAAACCTGAATTGCTTTTGCCCAAAGACAACTCTGGTGACACAGACTTTGGCCCCCTGTCATCGCTGTCAAAGGAAGCGTGTGTCCCCTCACCTCCACGGACTCACGGCTCCCCCTCGCCAGGCTCCCACGGACAGCCAGCCCATCCAGGAGGGGCTTTGGACTGTTCGTCATCGAGCAGCCATCACCAGGACCCGCCGCCACCCAAACCTAACCACCCATCCAGACCTGCCCCTGCGTGTCAGGAGCGGACCGCAAGGAACCCCACCCAGTCGGACACCCTGGAGTTTCAAAACTGTCCAGGAAACGATCACCTCCCGTCCTCTCGTCCAAGGAGGGAGACCAAACTTCAGAGCAACAGGGAGCTTAACCAGATCCACCTGGCCCGGGGCGAGCTCTGCGACCTCCAAGGCCGGCTGCAGTCCGTGGAGGAGTCCCTGCACTCGAACCAAGAGAAAATTAAAGTCCTTCTGAATGTAATTCAAGACTTGGAGAAAGCTCGGGCTCTCACAGAAGGGTAAGGTGATTTGTTTTTTATATTAAAAACTACTGGGTCAAGTCGTTTGCCAGGAGAGGAGCAGACAGAGTACATTGGTTTCCATTAGTAAAATGTCTCCAAAATATTGGCATCTCAGTTGTTTCCCCAAATCGTAAGCAATGGCCTCCCTTAACTCCAACTGGGCTTCATTCAATTCTAGGCTTTGGTGGATTTCCACAGCTATTTGTTTTTGTTTCCAAATATCAACAGACTAGAGGTAAGGGAGCGAGGAAGCAGCCGGGCCTAAAAGGACTGTAAGATGTGGGTCCAGTTGATAAATGGTGGGGGGAAGTGATAGCACACAGGTACTGCCCCCACCCCAGCCTCGAAGCCAGTCACTGCATTTGCAAAGGATTTTGGTTATTTGTGTGTTTGTCACAAAGGACTCGAGGTGGCCACCAAGCTTCCTGTTAACCTTGCCCCCCACTGACCAGTCTCAGGGTGTGGGCCAGGCCATCGCTGACCAAGTCGGCAGAAACAGCAATGAGATCACAATTCTGCAGAGAGAAAAAGGCACATGGTGCTTTCCTGGGTGACTCAGAACCAGCCTGGGCAGGGGAAGGCAGTTATTTATTTAGGTGTGACATGTTCGTCCCTCAAAAATGTGCTCCCTGAAGACTGAGAGGAGGGAATGGTGAAGCTCACCCACACAAGGGAAGGAGAGAGCTGAGGAAATTAAGTGACATTTGCTGGTAGGAATCAGAGTCAGCATTGCCTTGTGAGAGAACAGCACTGGGGTGGCCCAGAGAGAGACGCACCGGACTAAGGGGTCGGGAGTTTTCACAACCTCCCTCCACTCTTTGCGAAGTCCCGCAGTGTCCCTTCTGTCACGAGGGGTGAAGAAGCGCCGACTCATCCCTGGGATTGTTGTCAGCATGAGGAAACCCACAGATTTGAAAGCGCATAAACATGTATAAACCCTCTGGAAACACGAGGCCCCATTATCATGGTTCCTTGTGTATTTGTAATGGTCACGCGGATTCAGGGCACGGCTCTCGATGGGAGGGGCAGTGCCACACTGAGGGAAGGAGTCAGTAGGATGTGTGCATCCCCTGGGACTTTCGCCCACAGATTTACCCAGCAAATGCTCTTTCTTGCAGGCGCAACTTTTATCGAACCGGCCAAGATCTCAACAATTGCAGTACCTGCCAGAACACGGCGTGCATCATATACAGGTACCTGGCCACAGTGGAGGCTGGCTGTGGCGTGCACAAGCTACGGGTCCACAGAACCTTCTAGTAAACTCTCTTAGAGGCAGAAAGTCAAGAGAGAGGCAAAGACAGGTGGCCTTTCAATGCCCGAGACTTAAATATCAAGGTGCTTAACTATGAGACGTTAACATCTGGTTCTAAGGCAGGCATGGCTTTGCTTTCTTACAATAAGGCCTCTGAGCACATCCGTTTGATAATGATCCTACACTTACTGAACGCTGGGTGCTGGCACCTTACCGAGCTCTGAGTGCACATTGGCATCTCGTTTCAAACTTTCACCTTATGAGGTAGGCATTCATGTCCTTGGGGAAGTTAAGCCCCGTGAGCCAGCTCAAAGACAGCATTTTCAGAGAAGGGCTCAGGCTCAGGACTCAAGTCCAGACCTTTCTGACCCCAAACCCTGTGGTCCTGGTTATTGCACCTCAATGCCTCTTCCTCAACAGCAGCTATCACAGGCCAAGCACTTACTATCCGTCAAAAAACATGCTAAGCACTTTGCATTTCTAAGCACATCATTTCCTTCCAGCAGCGGGAAAAGGCTGCTGCAATAAAGTGGGTTTTTATAAGTAATAGAAGGAAAGCATCATATAATAGTGAGAGCAGTCAAAACCCTCCAGTCAGCTGTCTGCTAACCTGTCTGGGGCTCGGTTTCCTCATCCAGAGGGTGGGGACTCTTATCCCTGTACAGAGTTGCCACAAGGAGCAGACGGGGTAATATATGTGAGTGCCTTTTGTGACTGCAGAGCTCTGTACGAATCCAAGGCCTTAATACCGTTATTACTAGAACGATCAATGCCCCCTGAGCGGGAAGCCCATTTCAGTGGCCTGGTGGAAATGTGGTCAAAAGCAGTCATTTGAGTTGATGACATCTAATTTTGTCAAAAGTGTATGGTTTTGCTTTCTCTATTACGTTTCTCTCGGATGAAAAGGGCAGCCCAATTGGGTTGCCTGTGTCTTCTTTGAAATTCTTCTCATTCTCTGCAGCAGAATCCCGAGATTTTGGATGGGAGGCCTGGAAGTCAGAAGGCCCCTACACTTAGGCAGGGCCTTGGGCATTTCTTTCATAGAAATGTCAATTCCTTCCACCCAGGAGCCTCAGAACTACATATTTTCACCAAATGGCAGAATCTTCAGGAGCGAGCACAGAAAATGCCCTTTACCTCGGTGTGAAACATCCCCTCCAAAAACTCCCCTGGAGCGAGCACAGAAAATGCCCTTTACCTCGGTGTGAAACATCCCCTCCAAAAACTCCCCTGGAAAAGGCAGGGGACATTGGAAAGAATAAGTAGGCAGGCTCATCCATTGCCACCTTTTTGCTCCTTTTTTTAACATCTATCTTAAGCAAATGTTCTAAGCTCTAGGAAGACAAAAATTATTAAATGTCTAGACAGCTAGGCAGGACAAAAAAAATCTATTCATCATAAACAATAATTACGTTTAACTAATCTCCATTCAAATTTTGCATAGTCTCTTTTCTTCCTCCGCCAGATGATGTGTTTTCTATTACCTTAAGATGACTTTTTAGTTAGCTTATGTAAATGGAAAGGGTAAGTGGCTGTTGCCCAGGCTACTGTGCATTTCATGGCCTGGCCGTGGGCAAATCATTTCTGACCCCTGAGTTACCTCATCTGAACAATGAGGCCCTTTAATTAGATGCTCCCTCTGGTCCCCTTCAGTCCCGACATTTGGGTGTTCTGTGCTCAATTAAAAGTGGCAATATTTGGCTACACTATGACCTTCCCACAGGTCTGAGAATGTTTGCATTTTCCTGTAGCTACTTCAAACATCCCCAGCAAACAGTCTAAATTAATCTACACCCCTGGAAAGGTTAGTAAACCTTCATGCACACGTCCCTTCCCAGTTTTCCAAGAGGAGCAACCACTGTGTATATCCACTGCTCATCACCATTCAGAGCCAGTCTATCCTCGCAGACAGTATCTGTACCCTTGTATCTAAACCATTGCGAAGGAACAGGCAATTAATTTGATGAAAGCAAAGAGATCAAACATCCCCATCATAGTAACAGTGGGAAGATGAGAGTTGTCATTTTTTTAAAACATTTCAAACGACTGCAAACCCTGTGTTGTGTCCTGTAAAGTCAGATCTTACATCTAATGAATAAGTGATGTGCAATGCTCATCCTTGGGCCTTGTTCGGCTGTGGTCCCTCTCCTGAGGGCGGATGGGCCCAGTGCACGTCACTGTACATAAAGCACACGGCTCAGGGCACATTGCCTGCCAGGTCTTTCTCCATGGAGATGTTGCTGTTAAAGCTGGTTCCGGGCTATTTAGTCTCCAGTCACACTCCTCACCAATCCTGAGCATTGATTCTAAGACAAGTTTCTCAACGGGTTGGGTGAAGGCTACCTATGGTACCTAAGATAAAATAATACTGGATTACCGAGTGAGAAGGCTGTTCTCTTTCCAAGTTTATTTCCACCCTTGTGATTACCACGAGGGAAAAATCGAAGTTGGTGCTAGAATGTCTTCAAAAGCTTTCCTATGCTTATTGATCACGCTTCTTTGCCCAGGCAGAGTAGGTCTCAGGCTCATAGCCATAGGCAAGCAATAGTATCTAGCCAGAATGTAATCATTTAAAAAATTTTTATCGAAGCTTTTAACTTTTAAAACAAGTCTCCCTAAATATTCATTGTAAATGATGCATGTCTCCATTTTCAAAAGTGGTATTGCTTATGTTATATACCTGTTTTGAAGTTTAAATAGAAAATAGATTTAAGGAAGAAAAGCATTAAGTCAATAGTTTCACAAAAACCATGAAGATAGTGAACGAATGATTGAAGTTTGAGAAACGGAGCCCTGAGGAATCAGCTCCCTTTCTTCTTCTCAAAAGCACGATTCTCCTCAAGCCACATCCCTCCTCCTTCCCCCACTCCACCCCCTGTTCCTCCAGCCATATCTCCCTGTACTTCATCTCCAAGTTCACTCTGACAATCATTGCTGAGCCTCTTTGGAGGACTTTGACTACACCAATCATGCATTTATATTCTGGACATAGCTCCCAGGAAAGAAATCTTCTTGGTTTAAGTTGTAAAATGCATCAAATGTTTTAAGGGAAGAGAATAGAAAGCCTTTCTCAGAAAAAAATTTCATCTACCATCCAAACATGTTACTTAGGAAATGGAAATAAAGAGTATGCTGCAAACTTAGCATTTTTAATGGATGGAGGGAGAGGTTGAAAGGTCCTTGCTTGCCACTTAAAGCTATTCATTAGCTAACCAGAGAACAAAGTATTTCACTAGAAATGTAATATGCACCCAGGCCTGTAGGTTTAGCAACCAACTTTCCACTTCAATTATTTAGTATTTTCCTTTGGTCTGCTTAGGATTCTCTCCCAGCATGGAGCCCGGTGACTGCAAGAGCCGGGTCTTCCAGTCACAGTCCTCATTTTGGCCAAAAATGGAAGTCCCGGTGAAAAACACCCACAAAGCACACAGCTTATCTGTTCTTTCTAGTAATCACAGGCGCATTTGTGGCTCTCATCACATTTCAACTTGGACTGAGCAGCATTCACTTCAAAGGCTGGACCTTGCACATCATAGCAATACCAACCAGCCTCCCTACATAACGACCACCAGACATAGCTCAAGCCGTCTCTTTAGAGAACAGGCATAGAGCCTGGGGTACACGTGGAAATTTCTCTGAGCCCCAAATGGTTGATCCCCAAGATATTTGCCTCTGGTCCCTGTTTCTCTCAGCAGCACGTTATCCCTTCCTTCTCCCCAGAGTGTAAGGGGAAAGGAGGAGGATTTACAGCATCAGCAATTTATCTGCAATAAAAATGAAACCTATTTTAATGCATTAATAGCTAAAGAGGCTGAAACATGCCATAAATATAAAATCAAGCAAGCTGAGAATTTCCCAGGAATAACAAACGATGGCTGCTGGCACAGAGGCCATGGCTGACCACAGAATGACCTAATCTTTATTTCTCTGTCAAGTACATGTAACAATCATTACCACTTGTCCTACCAGGCACTGAGCCAGGCAGCTTGCTAAACACGGTACACACAGCATCTCCTCTCAGACTCCCAACAATCCTAACGTACGAGTATGGCTGTTAGTGCCATTTTACAGATGAGGAAATGAAGACTCAGAGAGGTTCTGTGACTTGTTCAAGATCCAACAGAGCTGGGGCTGAAACAGGTCCTGCTTTCGGGAGATTTTCCTGTCCCTTCCCCTCTTAACCTGGGACCTGGCATAATCACTGAATATATGTGCTCAAGTTCTCTGAGCGAACCTGTCCCTGCTGAGGGCTTAGCGGGAAGACCTCCTCGTCCCACAGCCACAGAACCCAGAGCGCAGGGTTCTCTCAATTAGCGATCAGCGTGATGATTTTTGCAGCTCGTGTTCAAGTGCCCAGAGGAGAACCTGCGACTCCCTGAGGACTGTTCAGCAGACACATGCCCTAGGGCCGTGGTTGGGAAACTGCGGCTCGCGAGCCACATGCGGCTCTTTGGCCCCTTGAGTGTGGCTCTTCCACAAAAATACCACGTGCGGGCGCGCACGTACAGTGCGATTGAAACTTCGTGGCCTATGCACAGAAGTCAGTATTTTGTGGAAGAGCCACACATAAGGGGCCAAAGAGCCTCATGTGTCTCACGAGCCGCTGTTTACCGAGCCGCAGTTTGCCGACCACTGCCCTAGGGGATGGGGTGCCCTTGCCAACTTGAAATGGCTGCAAGTTGTGAAGCTTAGGGGTGAGGGGAGGCAGTGGGACTAACTAAAGCTCCTACGTTCCAAGGCTGGGATCCTTCCCCAAAGATAGTGACTTGATTATCCAAGGAGATAGGAACCAAACTGCCCTCGCTGAGCTCACTGATGCTGCCAGCTCATTCTTTAGAGAAGAAACTTGTGGGAGGTCCCTAAGCCTGTGGTCACCAGCTCTGTGTGCCAGGAGCCACAGAAAGCCTCGCAGAGGGAGGAGGTAGAGAGGGACCTGGAAGATGCTCCACCTTCAGGGAGGTGTCGTGGACCATTCGTTTCTCAGCCAACCTGCGTGGAGTGTGTGGTGTGTGGCAGGGGTTTGCCCCTTTCTCTTTAATAAAAGACCAGCCCTGCCCCCCTGCTGAGAAAGAAGGGCACAGGGCCCCCTGCAGCCCTCAGCAGCCACACGCCTGGAAACACCATTGCAGGGTGGGCTGGTTCCACAGGGGACTGGGCGGTCATGCACCAGGCCTTGGTCACCACCACCTCGGCACCCCCACCCCACACACATTTGATGACCAGGATCTCAGTCCAGTCTGTTTTAGTGCACCAGCTTCAGGGTCAATGTCGGTTCAAATCCTGGCTCTGTCGTTTACTAGTGTGTGGCCGTAACCCGCCCTTGCCTCGGTTTCCTCATTTATGGAGCGAAGATAGTATCTAAGGGGGCCATGAGAATTACATGAGGCATGTGGCATCACTAAACTTGCAGTGCAGAGTCTACAATTTAGATTTCACTGCACGGATGACAGTCCTCCTCTTCTTCTTCCTCTACCTCCTCCTCCTCCTCCTCATTCTCTTTTTTCTTCTCCTTTTCCTTTCACCTTCCCTCTTCCCCCTCCTTCATCTCCTTCTTTTTATTATTATTAATTTGAATTGCCATGCGTCCTCACCTAACATGGTCCAGGTACTCTTCTGTTATTTCTTCTTCTTAGATTAAGTCCCTGGGTAGTAGCCAGGCCCTGGGCTAAAACATCTCATCGCTCTTTAGGAAAAACAGAGGACTAAGAGTCTGGAAACCAGGCTTATATTCTGTTCATAACTTACAGTGTGACTTCTCCATGCCAACTTGTTTGTCAATGGGGACAATTTTCCCATTTTCCTGGGCTATCATGAGGATAAAACGAAAACACAGATCTGAAGGGTCTGCAATTTGCAAGTGCTACTCAAAAGTAAGGGGTTTCTATTATTCATCTGTTTCTATATAAGCTTGCATCTCTTTCTGGCTCCCCTAACTTCGATTTGCCCAGCCAAGCTGCTGCATCCAGACCCAGGCTCTGTTGTCTGCTCATGGGCTAATGTATCCATCTACTGTTTGCTTCTCACTATTTCTTCTTCCCAACAAGTTATGACTGAGGCTTCCCGCTGCTTCCTATTTCCTAGAAAAACATCCCTGTGCTTTTCACCTGGCCTGGTGGCTGGGGCATTGATCTGTGAGCTGGATTAGTGAGGTGCTCTCCCGAGGGAGACCTGAAAGCTCTCTCCCATTCCTGGCAGACAGACAGCTCACTTTCCAAAGCAATGCAGTACCACACCCGGACAGATTACATGGGCAGGGCCCCACGGCTCCCTTAGACAATGACTAGGGCAGTCTGAACCAGGTGTCAGATATTCCTCACTGGACCAACCGCACTGACCTCGACTGCCCCACACGACCTCAATGGACCCAGGCCTGAATTCTGTACTGTAGCAATTTCTTGGCCCCCACTGTGAGCCAGAGCTCTGAAAACTAAGCCCTCGACACTCCTCTTCATCTGTATAGAATATGGGTGGCAGGAGATGGTAAGGATGGGCTGGGAGGGAAATTAAGAGAAGAAGAGAAGGGGAAGCAAGGTTTAAAAAGTCACTGGTGTTCACATTGATACCAAACCCAAGGCAGACGGCATTCCCTAGAATCTACAAACAACCCTCTCCTTGACTTCTCACCATGTAGACAATTTATTCCCCTTATCAAGAGGTCGCTGAATATGGTGTGAGTTGGCTAAAAAGGAAGTTGAAGGGTATCTCCTTTCCTCCATCCAGTGACAAGATGAAAAGAGATGAGACCCTATACATTCATCCAAACTAAAGAATAGTTTGTCAAGAATAAGAAGGAAAGTGACAATTTTCCTTTATGTTAATAAATTGCTTTGGCCTAAAAAAAACACATTAATCAATTTCTTTCCTAAGTTCACACACTTCTCTATGCTCTGCTTTTTGCCTGGCCTTGAAAAGAAGTTACTTTCAATCTCCTTCCAATTGTCAAAATCAGTGGGGGCAGTTCCAAGAGGGATGGGGGAGAGCTCTAAGTCTCAATGATTATAAGGCAATCCTGTGGTGTTTCCATAGAAACATAGAATGTATTCTTTCCTGAATGTACATGGAGGGGAGGGGTGAAGAGTGATAATGCTGGCAAGGTATACAATTACTGAAGAGCTTCAGGTATGAGTGAAGAGACATTCAGCCCATAAGATAGGAAGACAAAAGACTTAGTGAAGAGTGGAGTGGGCAGAGACCATATCCTACGTGAAGACATTTCACCTGTCATTGTGTCCCATCTGTACAACTGTCCAGTGAGAGAGCTTTATAACCCCCACTTTCAACTGAGTCTCTGAAAGAGAAGCAACTTGTCCAAGGTCACCTAGCCGGTGAGTGGTATAACCTTGTTCAAACTTGGGAGTGTTCCACTCGAAGCTCTTGTTCTATCCTCTATATTGGGCTGCTCTTTAAATCGTGATGATGAGACAGTTTCATTCTGTCTCCTGGCTCTTCTCTCCCCGGGCCTGCCAGTTCTGTCCACATTCTGGATTCACCCACAGCATTCTTTTTTCCAATTGGTATTAGGACACTGCTGTGAGTCTTGACAAATTCAGGTGGTTTGTTGTTGCCATTGTTTATTCAAATTATGAAGGCAGAGAAATGTCACACATAAGGAGAAAAAGATAGCTGGTTTTTGTGTATGCTTTTATCATTTGGTAGAGGTGTATGGATAAAGAGCAGGAAAGTAGGCATAGTTGAGATAAATACAAGGCATATTTTAAAAGCAATTGTTAGTTTAACCATCTGTCTCACACACTGAGAAGTAAGATCCACAAGAGCAGTGTCCATGTCTGTCTGTCTGTCTTGTTGTGTCCCATAACTGAGCACAGTGTTGAGCCATGAGAAGGATCTATGGTTGGATGGATGGGTGGATGGATGGATGGATGAGTGGATGGATGGATGAGTGGATGGATGGATGGATGGATGGATGGATGGGAGATGGCACAATTTTTCCAAGGTCATATAGCCAGTAGGTACCTAAGCATCTGGGACCAGATGTCAAAGGCCATGCTCTTCCATATCAGTTGGGCCCTTGGTGATGCTAAAGCCATATGTGCTGACTTGAATTTACTGTCCTTCCTTGTCCTGTGTTTTTCAGTGTAGAATATGATTTTCGGCAGCAGGAAGGCAGGTTCCATGAAGTTCTACAGAGTCTGGAGGAAGCAGAACCAGTTGAGGAGCCATGTCCCCCACCAAAGTCCACAGCAGAACCCCCTGTTCCTGAGAAACAGGACTTAAGGCGGAAAACCAAGAAGGTGAAGAAGAAATGCTTCTGGTGGATCTGAGCTTGTTGGGACCATGCACTCTGCCCTCCCCCAAGACCTCCCTGAGATGGGGACCACTGCCCTCAGGTCTTCTCTGCTTCTTAGCAAAGGCCCCGGACCGAGAGCCACTCAACCTGCGAAACCGGAAAGACTCGGGGCTGGTTTAGCTGCTGCGGGACCCCTGACCACCAACCTCACCTGAATGAGTGCCACTGTTTGCTGAGGGCTTCACGGACCCTAGAGTGACCACTTGCCTAGTTCCCCATCACACACGACTCGGCCACAATCCTGGTTTTCGAGTCTAGGTTCCCACCCTGAACAAAGTCCCCATTGACTCTCCAACAACTCTATGATGCTAAGCACTTCCTTCTCATCCTTGGTTTGTCATCCGAAAAAAAAAAAAAAGAAATGTTATGTAGAGCAGGAAGTTAGAGGAGAGCTAGAAACTGATACAACAGGAAAGATCAGTTACATACACTGGCCGTTTTCTAAGATATTGGCATACATAGCATGACAGAAATGCGCAGGGCAAAAATGCAAGAGCGCCTGGTGGGCTGGGTCATTTTCATTTTAAAATAGCCCCTTGACCCCAAATTAAGAATCTGTCATCTCATGCTGTGGGGGCCTTCCAGTCTGTGGCAGAGTAAGGTCACTGCAGGGGATAAGGAACTTGGTGTGGCTCTCCTGCAGTTGTAGCTCCGGGGCCCACCTTAGGCCACCATGCTTCTCAGCCTGGGGCATGAGACCACCTGGAAAATAGATGGGATTTGGTTTGAACGTTAAGATTTCACAGTTGATTTCCCTGCAACATTTAGTAAGATCATGAAATCCAGCAACCTGTCTGTTTCATCTGACCAGTAACACAAATAAGACTAAGATAAAACACAACACTGGTTCTCACCCATTCATCCCTGCAATAGCTTTGTAGATAGGTTGTTAAGTATATTAATCTATATAATCTCCCTTCCTGGTGATCCCTTCAATGATCACCTGATTGAAGAAGCAGCAGGAGGAGGGATATATATTTTTTTCCATTTTAGTATTAAAGACCTTCCCTTCCCAAAGTCTGAATTCTTTTAAAGTCTGGCTCATTCTTTTGACAAGACCCCTATACATGTGGGTCTTGTCAAACCTGCATGGCTGAACAAAGTACTAACATAATCTAATTAAGTAACTTCTACATACTTTGGGGGATGAGGGGTAGGTTCTCGTTAAATTCTCTACCAGCCTGTGCTCGGATGGATGCTGCTTAGAAAAGGGATCCTAAAGCTCAACATGGCATTCAATGAAGAAGGCATTTCATACCCTCCTTTGCTCAAGATCAGGTGTCTGAGTTAGAGTCTGGGATGAACGTACCCCCACTGCAAATTGAGACGAATGAAGCAAACCACTCCGACAGCTGCACCTGCTCCTGCCACAGCGCTGCAGTGTGCAAGCTCTTTCAGCGAGAGTGAGGGGAAAATTTGGCAAGGAACCTCAGCTTGCACTATTTAAGTCTTGGAATGTCATTCAAGATGTTCTTGTTCTGTTTCTAGTGTAATGTTTAAACCCAGAAAGTGAGACCGGCATCCATAATGTTAAGTGGGAATTAAGATAAATACACTTGTCATACGGAGGAAGCCACATTTCAATAAGATATGCTCCCACTGGCTGAAAGCCACAGATCTTTCTGTATCCACACAATCAACTCTCAGTTGGCCCCAACAATGGAAAAGAACAGCATCGAGGATAACCCAATAAAGCAAAATCATGTGGGATCTCTTATGTAATTTTATCTTGTAGTAGAGCTTCCATCTTAATTCGCTTTGCTTACACTAATTTTCAAATTAATTTATAATCTTGGGCAGCATGAAAATAATCCTGTTTCAGGAATTAAGAGACCCAGGCAACAGAATAGCCTAGTCCACTATCCTTTAACAAACTGCTTAAAATGTCAGGGCCTGTTTGTCCATTCTGAAATGGAGATATCAACACCTACTCGACCCACTTTATAAGCTCTGTGCATGGTCCAACATCAAATGAGCAGAATGACCCAGAGCTGAGCTGGCTCATTTGCCAAACTTAGCCCAGATTGATGAAGAGGTGTTTAAGGCCATTCTCTCAGAGTAGAGCCCAACCCTTGGGTAATTAAAAAGCGCACGTTCTTATATACTTATGTTTAGTTGGAGATATCAGATAAACCCTCAACTGAAAAATGAAATTGGGGTAGGAAATGTTGACATTTCTAAAAATACAACCAAATGGGACTGCAATGAATCTATACCAAAGCACAACACAGCATTGCTGGGGCCACCAACCTGAAACTGGGAAGGAGGTCTCTTCTGGAAATTGAACATTTAAAATCATTATGAGGGAAAGGGATTCAGTAAACACCTTCCTGCTAATAAAAATGATCATCTCTGTTTTTTTTTTTTTAAAAAAAAAAACACCCACACATATACATAGACCAAAACTCTATACCTATCTACTCATGTGAAAATCACGTCTTTGTAAAATATTATGTAACATCTACCATGATAATCTGCAAAAATGCTGTACTTGAGGTTATATGGTTTTATAGAGAGAGATTAATTTAGCCAAGATTACTTTTATAAAATTGAAGGGGAAAAGACTGATACATCAACTTAAATTGCTGGAGTTTATGTAGCTGCTTTCTCTGTAGTTAAGAAAAAATGTGTACCCGCTATAGTTGGAACTTAATACCAGCTCATCTGTAGAGCCCCTTCTTAAAAACAATGTATAATGTAAGTTTTTGTAAATTTCTAAACTATTTTAAATGGGATATTATCTTTTGCAATAAACTTACATATTTTTCCTAGGTTTTAAGACTCCATTACTAGCTTGGGTTAATTTAAACTTAAGAAAGATGATCCCTGCCCAGCCGGCGTGGCTCAGTGGCTGAGCATCAATCTATGAACCAGAAAGTCATAGTTCGATTGCCAATCAGGGCACATGCCCCTGTTGTGGGCTTGGTCCCTGGTGTGGGGTGTGCAGGAGGCAGCCAATCAATGATTCTCTCTCTTATCATGGATGTTTCTATCTCTCTCTCCCTCTCCCTTCCTCTCTGAAATCAATAAAAATATATTTTTTAAAAAGAAGATTGATACCTCAATGGTCCTAATGATAGGGATAGTTTTTGTTACAACCTCTTCTATATGTTTTCCAGGAAAACAAAGAACAGATTCAGAATTTAGGGCCATAATGGTGACACACCACGTGTCCTGGGAGCAAGGGAGGCAGAGTGAATGAACAGGACACTTCCCAGCTCATTTGGATGAACACACATTCATGTTTTTATCATTATTATATCCACATACCAGACCTATAATTTAGTCAATATTTTTCGTTATTTTTCCTGTAATTTTCTTCCTTAAAAGGCAACTTTATAATACCACCACAAAGAAAACCAATTATGTTCCAAATATAGAGGATGAAATAAAAATAATTTTATTAAATTCTTGTTAGAGACTGTTGAGTGTTGAAAGTGCCAAGCCTGAGACCAGCTCTCTTTGTTAAGGGAGTTAGCAAACCTTCAACATGTGCTAAAGCCATTTGGACACCAAACATGTTTTCTACTTGATTGATCGGGATGTTCGAGAGAGAATTGAAAAGAAAAAAACTTTCCCATCATGTTATTAAATTCCCTCATCCCCCCCCCCCCGAGCCATCTAAAACCAGCTTATTTACCAATTTGTGGGGTGGGGGACTGGACATAGAGTCAGAAGTCTTGACACATGGGTTTGATATTTTGCGACCTTCTTTTTGCCAGGTGACCTTGGGAAAGTTAACCTCAGCCCTCAGTGAGCCTCTGATTCTTATAAAACTGAACATAACCTTTGCCTTACAAGGGTGTCTAAAAACTAAGTGGGTGAAAGCCCTGAGCACAAGGGAGGGCACACAACAGGTGCTCAATTAGTGTGTATTCACTCATTTGTTGATTGAAGTACATTGTGAAAGAGGGTGGAAGATGCCTTCATGGGGCTGCAGTGGGTTTTCAGAAACAGGCTTAAGATTTTCTCCAGGCAAAAAGTGGTAGTGATAAGGGAATGAACTCTTCCTGCCTGAGAAAGACCAGAGACCATGGCAATGAACATTACTTAACAAAGTCCTCAGTGATCCAGGATATGCAGGCAGATCAGCCCAGCACAGCACTCTGAGGAATCGGATATCCTGGAGGTGAATGGTACTGTTGGAGTTGGGACCCTGCCATTTCAAGCATCAGGCAATTAAGTGAGGCTAGTTGAGTGGTCCCAGGACTCGCAGCAATCACGTGGGGAAGTGAGTGTTGGAAGCAATGTGGTTGGTGGGTGGAACACATAAGAGTCTACCAGACACCAGCGCCCAGGGCAGCTTCAGGAACCACTGACGCTAGACTTGAGAGCCTTGTGCTATCTGCTCTTCAGTCACACTGAGTCACCTTGAGCTCCTCAGGCCTAGCATGCAACACTCCCTCCAGGGTCTGTGTGCACTTGTCCTTGTACCTGGGACAATCCCCACCATGTCACCCTCCCCGCCAAGTTCCAGCAGAGTAAGCTTCCCAGCAAGGCCTTCCATGCTACCACCACCACTGCCCATACCACACCCAATGCCCCTCTAACACGGTCACCTGGCACCAAGGACCTTCCATCAAAGCCACTGGCTCAGTTATCCTTGTACTTATCTGTGTATCATCCTTTGATTTATGTCTTTTCCATATATATATATATGGCTAATATGCAAAGCATCCCCTAGGGAGTTCGACTGGGAGAATGGGTGTTCGATCGCTCACTATGATGTGTGCTGACCACCAGGGGGCAGCACAGAACATGGAGGGTGACCAGCGGCAGCAGTGGGGTGCTGAGGGAGCAAGAGAAGGAGGAGTCAGGGAGGTGGGGGGGGGGAGATAGACCACGCAGTGGTGGCATGTGGGTGGCAAGGGAAGGAGGAGGTGGGAGGCAGGGAGGCGGGGAACCTGATCAGCCCTGATCACCGGCCAGGCCTAGGGACCCTATCCGTGCATGAATTTTGTGCACTGGGCCTCAGTTTGCCTATAACCTCCCTAAGACAGGAATCCTGCCTATTTGTGCTCACCTTTGTATCTCCAGCACCTGTGCAATGGGATTCAAATAGTTGTTGCAGGAATAAATTGGGGAATGGATTGGATCCAGCGGAGAGACATGAAGAAACGATTCCCAGATGGTTTCCTTGTCTCTCAGTCTGGCACAGGGACGGACCCATTGGTGCACACAGGCTGCTCCTGTGCTCCCAGGAACACCCAGCCTCCCACTGATTTGGACCTTCATCAGCTAATAGGCCAGGGCTCCTGATTCCACCGTGGTCTGCATGGTATTTAGGACCCAGACACCAAGCCACTGCTACCCTCCCCCTCTGCCAAGCCCCCAACCCCTTTATCCAGAATACTGACAGCCCGGTTAACCTTGCTTCAGAACAAATTGCCATCATAATTAAATGCCAACGCGTTTTGCACATTTTACCAAGATACTGCCTTACTGTATGAAGGGGAAAATTGGTTTTGAAATTAAAGCAGATTGTTAACTATTTTTGCTGTAATGTTTCCATTAAAATGCCAGAATTTATTGCATGTGACCGAGTCCATTTCAGACAAATGCAATTTAAAGGAGACAGGGTCTGTCTCGCTGAAGAAGCATTTAGGGCAGAGCATTCTGCCTTGGCTTAAACCACAACTAAAATCAAAAGATAATAAACATCACACCAAAGGATTATTTGCTCCAAAGCAAATAAAAGCTTTATTATCACGAATGGCTTCCACAAATTCTCAATATCCATAGCTATCTTACACTAAATTTCACTCAAATGAAACCCATACCTTTTTTTTTTCCTGGCAAAAGACCAATATATATGTTTTAAATCATCAGCTAAACACAGTGACCTCTTATTGGTACTTGGGCCGCTTTCCCAGGGAGCACACGCGATGCTGTGATGCCCTAGTGATGCTGACGAATAAGCAGTCTTTCTCCTGAGCCAAGTGGACTGAGTCACTTCAACTGTTGAAACCAGGAGAGGTTCACACAGCGTTTCCACCCGCACACTAAGCCGGCCTGCGCCCAGTCCCGCAGGCACTAATCCCATATTGGGGAGGGAGGGCAGGAGTTATGTGCTCTTGTCATGTTTTTTGTTTGCTTATTTGTTTCAAGATTTAAAAAATATATATGCCTTCAGTAACTAGGGATCAAAGAGAGCAAAAGCCAAAGTCACAGGAAGCAAAACCAAAGCCACTGACATCCACAAACTCAGCCGACTGACTTGTTGGGATTTCCTGAAATGGATCCCTCCCTCTTCACTCTAGGCATTCACCAGCCCCAAAGAAATGTCTCAGATGAACCTCAGTCCACAATCACTTATTTCCCAATAAACAGGCATAGATCCCTGCTCTGTGTCGGGCAGGGAAACTACAGATGCTGCTCTTGCTCATTGTGGTCCATTGGGGGTGGGGGTGGGGTGTCTGAAAATAAGCTCCTGTCCTTTTCTGACCTGCTCCCCTGGATGTCAGGCCGCCTCCTTCTGACCGTCTCAAGGCTGTCCTCAATTCTCTTGTGATGATTCTTTGTCCTAAAGTATGGCTATTTCTAGTTTTCTCCCCCTTTCTCCACTATACATTGTGTCCTGAGAGTAGGAACTGCTTTCCTTATCTTGTGAAGTCTTAAATCCAAATTTTTTTTAATTGAAAAGAAATACTTCATCATGAATCCTTGTCTGTCCCATGTGGCCCACTGCACTGACCTTCAAAGTCTATATTCCCTTATAGTGTTCCAGCTCCCGTGGACCCAGCCTCCTCCTGGCTGCCTTGGGATCTCTCTGAGACACACATCTGGCCATGCCATTCCCTGGCTTTTTTTCTTAATCTCTACCCCACCATTCTAGAATGTAAAATTCCTCCCCTAGCAAACAAGGCTCCTTGAAATCAGACTCAACCCAGAATGTATAGTCTAACTTCCAACTACTCCACTTTCTCCTGTACCCACCTCCTGCCGCTTTCCAAAATGTCAGAAGCTACTACATATCAGTGACTTAGCACATGCTGTTCCCTCTGCCTGGGATGCTATTCCATTACCTATCTACTATGGGAAATAATTTTCATTTTGGTGAAATATTTCATAGTAGCTATATCACTACTAATTGTTTTGTTTTTCTAAAAGCTCTGGTTTATTGAAGTTACAACGGGCTATAATTGAATGATTTGCTTCCGTTATCTTATTTACTCCTGAAAAAATTATCATGAGGTTGCTTATGATTACTCCCATTTTCCAGAAGAAAAACTGAGGCTTGGAGGGAGATAAGTAACTGCTCAAAGTCCACAAGTATGAGGTGGTAAGGGCTGAAGTTCTCTCAAGGTCTGCCAAATTTGGAAGCTTGGGCTCTTTGCTGCCATGCCAGACAGAGAGCTGTGATT